CATAACAAGGGGTATATCAACTCTAAATGATAAAATTGAAGGGTATATCAGACCCTTTTCCCTAGATAGAATAAGTTGTGATGTGCAAGTAAAGATTTCAAATAATGTTTGGATATGTGATAGATCAATAATTTGAATTTGGTATTTTTATTTTTATTTTAAATAAACAAAATTTGAATTATAAACTTCTAATTTTTTTCAAAAATATAAAATTTGATTTATGAATTTATAATTTGTAAAAAGAAACTTGTTATTTTAAATTTTGTAAAGAAAGTCATATCCATTATCCGGCATGAAAAGATGTTAATGACATTTGAAAGGAATATACTGATGAATATTTAGTTATATTACTATTATAATATTTTTTAGTGAATTTTTATAAAATCACGTAGAAAATTTGTAATTATAAATATTTATAAACAAAAATTAGTATATTTACATAAATTTTATTTTTATATCAATTTAAATTCATATTACATATTTAAGCGAACGTAATAAATATATTTATATATATATTTAAGAAAAACGATAGAAACAAAAAGGTTGATAGATAAGAAAGGCCATCGTAGAGAAGTTGCGTTGATGTACTTTCGAATAGACCTCTTTCTCTTATCTCTATGTATACTTTTTCATAGCGTGTACATATAAGTTTTGATTTGATTCCTTTTTCTTTTTTTTTTAATTAAAATCAAAATAATTTAGACGGTTCAATTTTATCAACATTTTATTCTTAAGGTTGGATTAATTGATAATTTGGGGAAATAACTTTTTTTTTCATTATTTTTTAAGCATTGCAAGCTTTATGAGATAAAATAAAAGCTGAGAGATGATCCGAAATTTCGAAATGAGAAGCTTTGATATAGGGAAAAATGGGTTTGAGTGCCGTATAGGACCTTAAAATAATATAAATGTGTCTTTAAAATTTTGAGCATAGATTGAAGGGGATACTTGTACATTTTTCCTAAATTTTTTAAAAACATAGTTTGAGATTTAATATTATAACTTAATTTTTTGAAAAAAAAATATAAATTTGACCTATAATTTATAACTTAGTAACCAAATTTATTATTTTTTAAAAAAAGAAAGAGTCATATTTCGTTTGAAGAAATATATGTACCATGTGAAATGATTATATTGTAGAATAATTAGTTATTATTATTATTAGTGAATCATTATAAAATTATGTTGAAAGCCTATAACAATATATATTTTATTTATAAATAAATAAATAAATAAAATGTATATATAAAATTTACTAATGCAACACTTAAATATATTCATTCATGAACCATTATGGATCTACTCATTTAAGAAAATTAAATAGAAACTATAACAATAGTCAGAATTTGTGAAGTTTTTGTATCTTTACAGAAAAAAAATCTTATCTAACAAATTTAAATTATATATTTAAATAAAATTTAAAATTATATCAATTAAAATTTTATATTTTATATCAAAACAGACATATAATAATATAAAAGAAAAGAAAGAAAAAAAAGGTTGATGGATAAGAAGGTCCATTGTATCGAAGTTGTATTGATGTGCTTTCGAATAGACCTCTTTCTCTTATCTCTATATTCCTTTTCATAAGTTGATTTGATTTAATTTTGTTTAAATCAATTAATTTGAACCGTTCAATTTTAGCGACTTTTTAATTTTAGCTTTTAACTCAAAAATATTATTTTAAATTAATAAATAAGAGTTATGGATTAAATACTACATGATAGATATAATTTTTCAAGGATACACACGTTCAAACATAATAATATTATAATAATTATTGACACTCTCCGATTGAAAGAAAATTGACAAAATTAATATATTTTGAAATATGAAAATATTTTTTTCACATTTCGACCATACTTAATAAATAAAATGATGCGTATTTTGAGTTAAGCATTATATAAAATATATATAAAAATAAATGCCTCATAAAGTTTTATGTAAATTACACCCAATAAAAGAGTGTTCATATAATATATACAAACTTTTCTCTTAAATTTTAGTCATAACCAAAAGAAAAAAAGAAAAAAGATTAGGAAAAATAGTTGAAACATCATAGGATTCTTTTCTTAAACAAAGCCCATAATATTTGACCTTTTCAAATTACAGTAATGTTCCGTATTTGGAGACTAACCACTACGACTCCTTTCACGTTTTTTCTATGAAAAAAAAAAATTGCTTGACCTCTTGGATCGAGCTAGGCGAACGTTCATGAATTTTAATTATATATATATATAATTTATAAATTGTTAATAAAATTAATTAATAATTTTATAATAAAGATAAAATAGTTAAAATATTTTTCACATCTGACATCAAGAAATAGTGTTTAATGAATAGAATAACTGAATAATTACTGAGATAAATATATTGAGTTGAGATCGAAAAATCGATTTAAAAAAAAAAAGGAAGCACAAATGGATTTTTGTTGTTGTTCTTCCTAAAATGTTGAGGGTGTTTAAAAAGGATAAAGTGGGTAGGAAAAGTGGCATGCAAGAATGGCCCCCATGTCTCCTAGTCAATGATTTTATCTACAACTTGCTTCTTATCATAAAGCACAACTTAAAAATAAATAAATAAATATGTATTTTTATTTTTATATTTGTGGACTTAACTGGTGACTCAGATACTGGTGGCTAATATATATCAATAATAAAATAATTTCATAGTCATAGAGCTTATCCTCTTTCTTTAACTTAGTGCAATTTTTAAAGTCAATACATTTATTTTAAACCATACGACAAGATAATATCGAATCTCTGGATAAGCCCTACTTTTATTTTTTTTCATTCATTCAATTAAATATTATTATCTTAAACTTTTTAAAAAATTCTATTCTCAAACACAAATGTTCCATTTTCTTGCCGTGTTACCTATTTTACTTCTTAACACGTATATAATATTTGAAATTCGAACGAACTCAATAATTTTTTTATATTATTTCAATTATATATAGAAAAATCATTACATATATGTGAAATATTTATTTCAAGTTCAACAATCAAAACATGTTATGTGTTTGATCATAAATTTTAAATTTTAACTCCGTGTTTACGTGTATAACGATCGTGTGGTTGTTTGACAAGTGTCGGTAATTAGTTGGGGTTGTGACGCAAGTTTCTGTGTTGTTAGCTGTCATAAAGTCCTAAAAAGTAAATGTTAAATTTATATCCACACATTATCTTCTTGTACAAAATATATAAATGCCTTCCTAGAAATCACTAACAGTCCTATGTTTTGTATTGTATGTGCCTACAAAAAGATAAAGACTCAAGCTTTTTGCGAACTCACACATTGTTATTATATATCTTATCTTATTCCATTTCAAGAATCAACAATACTTTTGAAGATATGGAGAAGATTAATCAAGAGGAGCATCAATTATGGATGATAGATGAAGGACATGAATTAGATCATGGTGAAATTTGTGATAATAATAATATGAGCCACTCATCTTCATCATCAATTTCATCATCTATTGGTGAAGGATCATCAAACATCTCTAATGGATCTTGTTGTTCATCTTCACTTGATACAACAGATGATGCATCTTCATCACCTTCTTCTGATGATGGAGCTTTATATGACTTATCATCCCTCATGTCACAACTACCAATCAAGTAAGTACTCCCTCCCTCTCTTCTCCGTTGCGTTGTTTGACTGGACACGAAGTTTAAAAAGCTTATACCTTTTTTTTGATGTTTATGAATTGCAGGAGGGGATTATCTAAGTTTTATGAAGGGAAATCACAGTCTTTTACATCTTTGTCAAGAGTTACAAGTTTAGAAGATCTTGCTAAGAAAGAATCACCATACAGAAGAAAAATGAAGTCTTGTAAGAGTTATGGAGCTGGATTGGATTCTTATAAATCATATACTCTTCCTAAGGCAACTATATTGAAGAAAGCTTCTAAAAGTTCATCATTTTCATCATATGGAAAGGCAAGTTTTATCAGCAGAAGCAGGCCCCCTCTAATCCCTGTGCAAGAGATATAGTGTGTAGTACAGAAAACAAAAGAAAATAAGGAGAGTGTTGTATTTATTTATTCAAACAGAAAGAGAGATCTAGGCTAGAGAGTGAGAAAGAGTTGTGTATATGTATACTTCAATTTTGGATATGTTATTGCATTTTTGGATATATTGTTTGCCCTTGAAACTGAAAATTGTTAAAGATTGTGTTCCATTGCACTTAGGTTGCAAAATATTCATAGAAGATAAATGAAATCTCTCTCCATTGAAAGTTAAGATCATCATTTCCTACAAGTTACTATTCTAATGCTTTTGCAGCAGTTGATACAGAATTCCTAGAATTTGATCTGAAAGAAGATCACAAAGAATATGAAACAGCAGAGATGCTGTTTCTACTAAAACAAACAAGAACTACTGCAGTAACTAATTTATTAAGGGGACATTCCAATACGATCTCGAATTCGACTTGATCTCCTAACTGGGGTTGTCAACACCACCTTCTTGATCTCTTCTCTATCTTTCTCCACCTGTTTTTACAAGTAAAATAGTTAAAGATTGAAGCTTTAATTCAAATACAAGAGAGGTATACATAAAAATCAACTTGAACTTTGCAGCATACCTTTTTCTTCAAGATCTTCTTTTCAGCTGTGAAGCTTCCATATGATGGAGAATCTGTTTCCACAACAGATGGCTGAGCAGGAGGTAAAACAACACCTTTAGATATGTTAGTGTTGCTGCCTTCTGCTTCAATCATGTTGTTTTTCCTAACGCAGCTTCTAAGGGAGCTGCTGACTTCTCCAACCATCATTTCACCTAGTAGTTCAATCTTTGGTGCACTGAAGTGGCTGATCTCTTTCGATGCTTCTTTCGTTGGTCCACACAAAGATGAAGCTCGTGTGATGGATTCAATGGCAGGTATTCTCTCAAGGTGAGAGTTCCTGCGATTTTCGGAGGGATTATTCAGTGGTTCTTGTAAAAATGAAACCTTTACAGAAGTTTCAGTTTTCTTCTCTAGGAGTTCTCCTCCAACACTGGCAATAGCTGAGTTGTTGAGTATTTCAGCTTGAGGAGTTTCAATAGAAGCATTTGGTTTCCTTGCAACATAGATGATAGCCATAGCCAAAAGCGCTGAAGCTGCTGAAACTCCAACGACAATTACAGCATTACTTGGTCCAATTTCTTTGACTTCAGCATTCTCTGACTCTATTTCAGTGTCAAAATTACTGATTTCAACTTCTGTTTTAATTTCTTCAGCTCCTCCTGGTACTGTCTCCTGTATTTCTAATTCTCCAGTTTGTTCCTGGGAGGTTATTTCGAGCTGCTCATCGTTGTTGTCTACTTCTGCTAGCTTAAATTTGGAGCTTGAAATGTCATCAAGCAATACTTCAAGGTTCTCTAGTTCAGGATTATTCTCATCAACTTGATCCCTCTGCAGCTGCTCATCAAAACCATCAACTTCTGCCTCATCCACTTCATTGAAAATAGTAACTTCATCAGCATCTGTTGACATGGTTTCCTCCTCTTCATCACCATCAACATCCGCACTCACTCCTTTTTCCTGTGGCTGAGTTGTTTCCTCCATTTCAGCACTTCCCACTTCCAACAACTCCACAGTATCTTCAACAAATTCGACTGCCTTAAGTTCATTAGTAGTTTCTCTTTGACACAATTCCAGAAAACCACTTTGAGAATACTCTGGCTGATCCACATATGCGCTGTCACTCCCATAAATTTCATGGAAAACAGCTTCAAAGATGTTCTTCCTAATCATAACACCAGAATCTGAACTCACTACGGAGTCCATGGTTGATAAATTTGAGCCTGATAGAAAGAACACAGCCAATAAAAGCAGAATCTTGAAGACCCCTTTCAAACTCCATTCCCGGTCCACATCTTCTTCCATTTCTTCTTCATCATCCTCAACACTATCCTCCACCACATCTTCATCATTCCCCAGCTCCAGATTAGATATTTCCGGCAGATTTGAGGGATCTTGAGTTTGCTGCAATGACCCTTGATCCTCATCAGATTTCTTAGGATCAAGAAAGGTCCCACGACGCCTATTTGGCTGGTAGCGGAGATACTTAGGTCTTGGACCAAGGTCATTAGTATGAGGATCATATGGTTTATATGAAGAATCAACTACAGAATTGTTTTCTTGGTCATTGTCGGATTCAGAGGCATAACTGTAGGTAGAAATAGGTAATTTTCCAGAACAATGAGAGGTCGAATTTAGGGAATTGGTCTTAGACCCAATATTTGAGGCCTTGTGAGGAAGGCTTTCACAAGTGGTTGAAAGTTCGTTTCTTTCTGCCAAAATCTTCTTCCTCATTGGAATTGAAGCTTTGGAAGCTGCAGATATAGTGGGTGACATGAAATTCTTAGTCATGGGTTTCTGGTTAAGTGGCTGCTCATTTTCATTCGATTCTCTTGACCCTGTTTAGTAGAAAAAAAGGACATTTTTATCAACAAAATAAGACAATTTGTGATGAATACAACTGTCATAAGTTCTTAGATTTCAAGATTTTAGAAATATTGAACTTCAATCAAGATTTTCCAATTACATATAAGTATATCGTGAATCCATTCCCAATCAAATGTGGAACTTGTCTAATCGCGCCCAGAATTGGCTCGATAGCATGGCATATAAGCTTAACTCAACCCCAAAAAGAATTTATACGGTTCATTCTGCAACTAAGGGACTTCAATCCAATCTAAGGGTTCCAAGAACCCAATTTTAATGATTAAGGAAATAGAAACATACCAGAAAGCGAACGATCTGGGACTGCAGAAGACTTAGGAGAGCTCAATGATGGAGTCGGCGTAGTACGCATATCCATAGTAGAGTCGTCACACAAGAAATCAAATATCAATTTCTTCGAATTTGAGTTCACTTTTTAGTTTTTGGAAAGTTTTTTGATATATATGAACAGTCAGGAAGAGAGTAACAATGGAAGGAAGAAGATGACCGTTAGAAGAGTAGGTATCCATTTTTAAATCTGAAATTTCAGAAATATGACCGTTGGAGCATGTGGGTTGTCAGCGAGATTTACATAAATTCCACATTCAATGGGCCGCAAATGGCCCATACTCCTTTTTGGACATGCAACTGAGTTGGGCTTTTGTGTACATATTTTGGCCCAATATTTACTTTTGGGCTTCATGATTGCCGTAGCCCGTGTCTGATCTGGCGTTCTAAAGATTCTTTTTGGGATGTGGACTGCAAGACAACTTTGAATAGTTAGAGTCGTTTAAAATTGTGAGATCTCAAAGTTAAAATTTAGCCTAATAAAAAAAAAGAAAAATTATATATAATAGCAAACTAATAACCTTAAATAAATGGAGTAGCTACGGTTTGATTTAATCGTGCTCCATAGCAAACGTTTGCAAAAAATTGTCAGGCGCCTCTCTCACAAATATCTCGCTCGCCACTCTCCTCCAATCTCTCGCTCGCTTCCTCACTTTTTACACTAATACAAGTATATAAAAATTATTTTTAATTGTATAAAGCGGAGAAAATTGTATAAATACATATATTTTTGTTCCC